GAAAGAAAGAAAGAAAGAAAGAAAGAAAGAAAGAAAGAAAGAAAGAAAGAAAGAAAGAAAGAAAGAAAGAAAGAAAGAAAGAAAAAGAAAAACCCCAAACAAAAAACTAACCCTGACCTGTTGCCAGACAACCTGGGACTTAATCCCAGCAGAGTACATAACACTTCTGGGCCTAGGTCTACCCATTTAAAATGAGGGGTTGCGGTGCCTCGTAGACTTTGCCTAGGATTAAATAGTGTGTACATAAATCGCATGAAACATAAGTGGTATTCTGCACTTGTTTGCACTGTTTAAGGGTATGGTAAACTTTTTTTTTCTGGTGGCTTTGCATAACTTATTAAGAATTAACTTTGTTTACTATTCCCTCCCAATGTCTTAACTTCATCCATACCTTTATCTTCTCCCCAAATATGAACAATACCTTAGCCCGCTTCAGCCCCCACTGGGAGGCCCGCCCCCAACGACCACTGAAACCACATTGGTATTATACAGAATTTTCATTGTAGGCCCATGTAAACAGGCATTTTTACACTTCTCTGTTTACTAACTACTGCCTTTAGTGATGCATGTATTCACCCCTGCCCTACGGCTCACACTGTCCTGTTGTATTGCTTCTTCGGAGATTTTTTTTTGTTTTTAAATTTTAGTCATTGACTTGAAATATTTTATTTTCATAGTATTTTTATTTTATAATTAACTTAATTTCACATATCAGCCACGGATTCCCCCATCCTTCCTCCTCCCACCCCCCAGCCCTCCCTCCCAATCCACCCCCCCCCACTCCCACCTCCGCCAAGGCAAGCGGGAGGAACCTCTAAGACTCTGCATGCCTGTGAACAGCTCCGTTTCTCCCTGGCTTAGGTTTTAGTTCAGCTGTCTGAAAACAACACCAGACTTAAGGCCTCTTCTTCCTCTCCTAACATTTGGAAATTGTCCTCAAAGATGATCACATTGTCCTTTTATACCCAAACTGCCGTTAAGACTTCTGAAAAACAAAAACTAATTCTCGTTAAGGGTAATTTAATTTCGCTCTCTGGACATTTGGAATTTTATCTTTGCATGTGAGGTATTTTTCTGTTGCCTGTCTAGATGTGAGGGTTCCCCAACCCCTGTGTCACCAGCCACTCAAATCCTTTCAGTGGGAGTTCTCCTGTCTTGCTTGAATTCTGGGCTTTTGTCTGCTTTTAATTTTTCAAATATTCTCTCCAAATATTCCTTTCCTTGTGGGTTAGTTCTGTGTGAGCTTTTCCATCCCTGTCTGACCTTTCCTGACCTTTTTTTTTTTTATTATTATTTTCTCCTCTTCGTCCCTTCACAAGAACCCCCAGTTTAGTTTGTCAAGTGAACCATCATTTGGCTCCATCCATTAGGCTTAGTCCTGTGTCTATTGCTTTCTCGGCTTCTGGCTTTGACTACGGCTCATCTGGAGTGTTTGCTCCATTTGTTTCTGACTCTCCTGGCATCTGCTCTCCTTAGATGTCCCTTTCCTTTCACCTAAGTTTATTTCCCAAGGGATTCCAGCTGTTTGAGTGACAGCTCTCAATGGGGACTGGAAGCCAGGGCCCTTCTCTTAGACTGCTCTTAGATGACAGTCAGGTCATGGTTCCACCTCTCAGGATGTAGGGCTTCTGATGGTTGAGGTAATACAGGTGCTTTAGATATGACAAGCTTGTCATGCTGGGGGGTAGTTACAGGGCTTCTAGTTTGGAGCCCTTTCAGACACTGCTCCAATGAATGCTTTTGGTATAAATATATAAATGTGCATTTTATTAATATTCATGTAACATATTTCTGAATTCAAAGTTGATGCTTCAAAGGAATGGCCATTCTAATGTCCACAGATGTGGAGTTCATCCCCAGAGAGCCCTATCAGTTCCCTCTGAGGCTGACAGTGTGAGAGTGCCAACTCCATCCCCACTGTGTCCCAGCAGACTTCCTAATATCCACACATGAACTCTTGGGACAGACCTCCAGCCCCTCTTGCAAAGCAAGTCTTTTGTGTAGAATGCCGCAGCAAGTTTCAGCTTGCCCACGTTGCCCTGTCACTGACAAACAAAAGGGCCAGCTTGTCTGCCAAGGTAAACAAACAGCAGACACTGATTACAGAACTGTTCTTGTCTTCATTCCACATGTCTCTGTCGGGGGGACTTGGGAACCTGGAACAGCACCTTCCAGGGCTGCTTTCCTTACCGGGAGATCAGGAACTGGGCGGCCAAGGAGTAGCCTTGTTTATTACGTCATCTTTAGAAGCCATCAGCCTATTTTGTACCACTTATCAATAGCTGGGTTACTATAGTAGGACTCACCCATGACAGTCCGCTGTTATTGCCTGTGAAATCCAGGCTCTCACCAAGGGTTAAGGGCCTTTTCTAACGGAATCAGGGAATCACCTCCACACAGCTATTCACTATGCAGACACTTCCCTGGTGTAAGCCAGTCCCGGCTCTGCACCACAAGTCTTCATGGATGGGCAGCCTGCTGTTTATTAGTCCGACTCTCACAGTAGAAAAAAGAGCAACATGGACTTAGAGATTATTCCAAAGCATGGAACAGTACAAAACTCAAGAGAGTCAGAAGTATGCCTTAGAAGTATGTTGGGCCTTTGAAGGAGATAAGAGACAATAACGTCTGGTGTGCTCAGAGGAAATGAAGAGATGATACTCAACAGAGCAGGCCAGAATACAGCTTATGCTTAGCAGAGCACCCATGAATAGATGCTGAATGAGTGACTAGATCTTGAAAATAAATGAAATTGATGAAAGCAAAGATGGAAATCCTTCCCACTCAAGCCATGAGCATCCTTCTTCTCAGAGTGGTACCCTAGTACCCTGCCAAGAGAGGAGTTCACAGCCGCTCTGGGTAAATATAAAATTTCATTTGAGATGTCATTGTCTGCCTCCCTAAAGCAGATCTTTAAGTTCTGAATGACAAAAATAAAAAGGATTCTGAGTTCTGTAGGTGGAGTTTTCCCATCCCAGGAGCTACTTCCAAATTACCACACTGAGGCTTATATTATTTACAAATGCTTGGCCAGTAGCTCAGGCTTGTTACTAGCTAAGTCTTACACTTAAATTAACCCATATTTCTATGTATGCTTTGCCACGCAGCTCATGGCTTGTTGCCTCATGTTCTATATGTCCTGTTCCCTCAGCAGCTAGCTGGTGTCTCCTCTGACTTTACCCTCCTTCTTCCCATCATTCTCAGTTTGGCTCTCCTGTCTAATTTCCTGCCCAGCTACTGGCTAGTCAGCTTGTTTATTAAACCAATCACAGTGACAAATCTTGACAGTGTACAAAGGAATTATCTCACAGCAGAGTTCATTCATTATACAGCAAATACAAGAAAGAGCTGGGATCCAAAGGCAGAACTGTTTCTGAATACTCGCCTTCATTAGCATGAGAAACTAGGACATGAGAGGATTCATTGCCCTGTTTAATGAACATGGTACTGGGGATAAAATATCAATAAAAGGACAAGTAAGTGATGATCAGAGATCCCATAGCTCATGTGATTGATAGGTATTGATTGATTGATTGATTTGGTGACTGTCTAACAGTGGCCCAAATGACTATGTGGACAATATAGGAAAGTCATTCTTCAGTTTTGGAAAACCTGAGGACATTCCATACTCCTTGCCTCATCCTCAATCAAGACAGAGAAATTGGTGGTTAGCTGGCTCATGTGGTCAAAACATGTCACTTGCAGTGGGGTTTTTGTTTTTTTTATTTTTGCTCAAAGTACATAAATATATCAGATGCTTATGAATTCACTTGTGTGCCCACCTTTAGCATATGAAAAGACATTACATGAAAAGGGTTTCAGGGGTATGTTCTGCTTCTGCCATGCTCCAAGCTGTTTCCTTCTTATTTTTAGATCCATAATTTTTGTAGCTATGAAATCCAAACCATTAATATGAGGATCCTAGATGCAGTGACTCTGTAGAGAACCCAGGCTGCCTCATCTAAATTCAGTCATGTTTATATAAAACAGCATGGCAGCCGTTTATTTGCCATGGAAAGCCTTTCCCGAAAGTGTTGCTACAGCAGTGAAAAAAGCAAATCACACTGCAAGACTACTCTTACTGAGGACTTACTGTGTGCTGACTGTGTGGTGTTTCCTTCATGCTCACCCAGCCCTGTGAAAGAGCTGGTCCTGTTACTTGATTGTACAGCTAAGGAGACAGAGCATAGAAATGAGACCAGTGAGTTCTGCAGGGATGAGCTGGGATCTGAACTCATAGCTCCTGAGTCTAAATTCCCACTTATCACTGTGGGCCTGGGGTGCTGGGCTGGCTAGCAGAATGCAGAAGTGTACAGACAGTCTAGGATGCTGATGAAAAGGACATCCACCAAACAGTGTTCTTTCCTCTCTTTGCAGCTCTGTTCACTGCCTACTTCGGAGCCTGCATGACACACCTGATGGCTGTGGTGAGTCCTTTGATCTCATTTCATCCTCAACAGGACTCGTCAGTGGCGTAGAAGTCCGCTGATGCCCACCTGAGCAGCAGCTGGTGACAGGGTCCATGAGCACGATCACCGTTGTCCTCCCATGTGCTGCCTCTCAGCCACTCCCACCCTCTACCGTCCCAGCAAACGCTAGTCCAAACTACAGTTACCAGGCTCGATACAAATGTCAGATTGCTAGGTTTAAAGAATAACTTTAACAATAGCTTTATCAATAACTCAATACTGTATTATCACGTTCATAGCCTAACTCTGGTGTTTGATAAGTTGACTTCAGCATATAGTTTACTTATTAAGAAAATCAGACCTGTGGAGTAGTTGAGAAACCAGAAAAGAGCAGACAAGGATAATTGACTAAGAAACAGGTGTTATTTTAAATCCAGCCATTTTTTTATTTGCATTCTCACCTACTCATCAATAAAACTTTTCAGACCTAGGTCCCACTTCCATTATTTCTAAGCAAATTCTTTGCTCATTAGCTCTCTCCTGGCATGCTTCCTCATTAGCCCAGGCTGGCCTCAAACTCACTGTGTAGCTGAGGCTTGCATTAAACTGGACTACAGGTGGCCTGCTAGTATGCCTGGCATCTTCTTCCTTTCTAATACTGTCATCTGCCCTTTGATCTCCTGCCTCTCCTGCAATGAGTCTCATACCCCCTAACTGGACGGAGACCCCCTACTTCCTAATGACTGAATTTCCTTATCCTTTTTGCCTATCATGCAGGTAATGCAGGGCTCAGACAATGTTGATGCATTCCCAGTTGTTTGTGGGTCACAGTAGTATTTGACTCTCTCAGTAGTTCATAAAGATTTTAGTCTGGGAAGGTCTCTATGGAAACACAGAATCTTTGTGGTAGGAAGTCAAGATTCAATTGTAGATCTGCACAATGAGGGGTATGTAAGAACATTATGGAGTCCTTCACACCTGAACAAAGAAAATCCATAGGCATCATTAGCCTGTGGATCAGAACTGAGTGGATTGTACCACTGAGTTAGCTAGGGAGATCTGGAAAACTTCAGATCCTGAGGCCCCATCCCTTGATTTGAGGATAAAGTATATCTTGTATGATGATTGGGCATTTTTTTTTATCAGACTTCCCCAGATGATTCTGATGTGCAGTCAGGTTTTGGTACCCTATCCCCCATCACACTTATGAGTTCCATACAAAAGACTAAAGCTAGCCAATATAGTATACTCAGAAATGTGTGAGAGGACATGGCAGCATTAAAGCATGGCATCTGCCCCCCAAAATTTACAAGTCTGTTTATGAGAGAAAATCAAAAGAAATAAAACAAGCTGAGTTAAATAATGGGGAGAAGTCAAGGTCAGAACGGTCACTATGGCTGACTAATCAGAGAAGCCCTTGTGGGTGTGATGAATGGTCAGGAGGTGTCAGCAAACTGCTGTCATCCGGTGTGCCCAGTGTCACCCTGGCACATCATGTTTGGGAAGTACAGATAAATGAGAAAACTGGGCAGACATACAGAAGATATAAAACTGACCACCAGCTGGGCGGTGGTGGCGCACGCCTTTAATCCGAGCACTGGGGTGGCAGAGGCAGGTGGATCTCTGTGAGTTTGAGGCCAGCCTGGTCTACAAAGCAAGTTCCAGGAAAGGCACAACACTACACAGAGAAACCCTGTCTCAAAAAAACAAAAAACAAAACAAGAAAAACTGACCACCATAAAAAGATAACTGAAAACATTTCAAATGGTAGATGCCCTGACATCTCAGACACGATCAAGGTTTCACAAAGTAGCACAAGCAGATTCCAGAGCAATGCCCCCACCAATTTGTACCCTGGGTGGGAGGCTCAGGTGGCTCATTGTGTGGACTCGCTTTCAAATGGAATCTCAAAAGAATGTGTGACCTGTCTCTCCTCCCCCAGGTCCAACTGCCAGCTGGTACGTGGGCCTTCTGTTTGGCCACACTACTGTTTCTCTTGATGACCACAACAAACCGCAACATCTACAGGATGCCCCTCAGCAAAGTCACCTACTCTGAAGAGAACCGCATCTTCTACCTACAAAACAAGAAGAGGATGGTTGAAAGCCCTCTGTGAAAGTAACCCCACACAACAGCTGTGGTCACGAGTCATTTCTACGTGCAGCTCCTATTGGCTTCCAGATTCTCAGCAACTGCTTTTCATCACAGGAGAACAACTTTCAGGCTGTCAGAAACCCATTCTTTTGCTTGCTTTGTGTTTTTCCTTTTGATGGTATATCATCAAGCACATGAGAACCATGTCCAGGTGATGTTCCCTGGAATGGAATTTAAACCCTTCTGTGTGTTGGCGGGGGCAGGGGTAGCACTAAGATTGTAATGTATTTATAAAGTCAAAATGTTCCGACAGAAAGGAGAAATGGAAGCAGAATAATTATTATTCAAAGCTATCTTTGATGTCAGTATTAAAAATTAAGTTCTGTAACCATTTAAACCTTACGGCATTCACAGGCACAGAAGCAAAGCCAACCCAAAGGTCTCAGATAAACAGTTTGCTTTCAGGATTAGTACAAGTTACTCAGAGCAACTGTGACCAACATTGCATTGGGGCAGGTTGACCACAGGACTGGTCCTCAGCCCACCGTCAGCATGACTTCTACACTGTGACAATCTTATATTTTTGGTTGTGAGACTAGCCTTTAACAGCTGAGCTATCCCTCGTCCCATATGACATTCTTAATGAGAATGGTTAGGGTTTTTTTTTTTTTTTTTTTCAAACTGACAGAACTGTGGGGAGGACTTTGCTGGTCAAAATAGTTCTGTATTGCCGCTCTTGGAATTTGAAAAATTCAGGTAGAGTTTATTTATTCTTATGAAAAGAAAATATTCTTTTCACCTATGTAAGTTTGCAGCCAGCCAATTCTTAGACATTAAATAAAATATATATATGGAATATTTAGCATAGTTGCTTTTACTTTAATTATTATGTTATTTTTTTTACTTTTTAGTTTCTGGGGGGTGTTTGACATAAGGCCTTGCAAAGTAGCCCAGGCTAGCCTAGAACTCAGCATCCCTCTGTTTCCATTCCCTTAGCACTGGGACTATACGTTAGTTTTTTAAGTGCTTCAGATACATGGCAACTTCACTAACCTCAAGAGCCTTTTATTGTCACATTTTTAATGAATTGAGGACATCTTCTAGACACTGGCAGTTAAGATGGATTCACACAGTCTTTCCAAGAGTTCTTTAATTTCTTAAAACAAACGACATTATTTTCTGCACACCAATGTTCTGTTTGGGAACCGATGGTATTGGAGCCACCTGGAAGAAATGCAGGGAGGGAATTCTCCAGATTTTCTTTTTAAATTTTTTACTTTAAAAACTGTGGTTTCTGTAAAAATTCTATGACCAATCCTGCTGAAGAGGACGGCAGAAAGTCCCATTTGCCAACTGCCACCTGTCCAATGACATTTATTATTTGGAGGTTGGGAAAGTGAAATTTTACATCCTAAAGTTTTTTTTCCCTGTTGAGTATGTTGTTCATGCCTGAAATCCTAGCACTCGGGAAACTGAGGCAGGAGGACCACAAATTTAAGGACAGTGTGGGCTACATTGAAGGGCCCTATCTCAAAAAACAACAAAAAAGAGACACTTTTGAAAACCCTCTTTCAATAGTCACTCAGCTAGCTGAGCGGTGGTGGCCATGCCTTTAATCCCAGCAGAAGCAGAGGCGGGCAGATCTCTGAGTTCAAGGCCAGCCTGTTCAACAGAGTGAGTTCTAGGACAGCCAGGACTACACAGAGAGACCCTGTCTTAAAAAACAAACACAAAACAATAGTGCGAGAAGACAGTCCACAGTCTGCTGAACAGCTGGAGTCAGGCAGCAGGAAAGTCTCTGCATATGCCTTAGGGAGTCCGTCATTCTCCCTCTTCTCAGGAAAACAGCCTGAGAACTACGACCGTTTTCAGTTCTGTGACCACGCCCTTTGAAGCCGTGGATCGGCAACTGTCATTGATTCCTGAGTTGTCCTATGAAAAATCTGAATTTCCAGTGTTTGAACTGATATTTTCCTGTTTGGAATTTGTGAAACAAGGGTTGGGAACAACAAGAAGAGACGTGTAAATACCCTCCAGAAGTGAAGAAGCTGCTTCCGAGCAGAGCGGACTGATGGGTCCACCATGCAGCCAATCCCATCTTGGAAACAGAGCTCAAATTTACCTAAGCCAGTGCGGTCTCAGATCGTCAAATGAGAACAAGCTTAAAGCCTTCTATATTATTTTATTTATATAATATTAATGTCTTTAAGGTATTTTTGTTACTAAGTATTATCCTAAAGTTAAGTGAAAACTCTTAGGGCTCCTTTGTACCTATTTTTGCTATTGTCTGTGTAACAGATTCCTGTGTAAAGATATGAATAAATTATATTCACAGCCCAGTCCAGTCTCATGTGTCTTTATAATTAGTAATGTTATATAGATATGAACATTCACATACATAATAGCCTCCCTTTGGCTAGCAGACTATGGGCTCCAAAGGGTTAAAATTTTCCCTCCCCAGTATGATGCTGGAGAAGGGAAGAGGTGAAATCTGATGCCAGACAGATGAGGCGCTTGCTCCCCCAGGAAGAAATTTCCCAGTTCTAGCAACTTATTGGAGCACCTCGTAGGACAGGCTGATGCCCAGACAATGATGGGTAGAACCACACCTTGCCCCAGATTGCCTACTTACATGTGCTTCCTACCTTCTATTTACACCTTAACCTCATGCCAGTGCCCCGAAAGTGGACTTGGAAGTCATCGGACCTCTTTATTACTCTTCCCTGTGTGGCCACTTTAAATAGATCACCTTGCATTGCCTTCCCCTCTTACTTGTCTCTTTGATTGGTATATTGGGGATAAGTGGGCAAGCTTAGCTTGCTGAGACTGCCAGGGCCTGGGCTTTGATCCTACAAACTCAAGTAACAGAATCAGATGGGTAGTTGATCAAACTCTGCTCAGTTACAGTCCATCCCATCTTCTCAACTACTCAAGAATGATTTACAGTTTACACAGGTTTGGGACATTCTCCTAACCCTGTGAGGTCAATGTCCTGAAAGCCACAGGTCCAGAGACCCCCATCAATGCTAACCCTAGAATCAGTGCTTGGAGAAAGCCACTTCTCAGCATGTATATCATGGAGAAATGTTCCAGCCAGGCCTGCCTCTGTTCCTGAAAGTTCTTCTCCCCTCCTCCTTTTGCTATGGTTATCATATCTGAAAAACATGTTAAGAATGGAAATGCACCTCAACAAGTCTCAATGACGACTTTGAAAGAATCCCAAGCAGAAAGTTAAAGGAGCCACTGTAGGATACCACAAGATCTCTACTTGTATCAAAACATTTTTCTACGTTGTCATGCAATGTCCCTTTCATCTGAGAGAGAAAAGATGAGACACTTTGAGGCACCAAACACTATAAAACTTTACAAGCTACAGGCATCAGTTTGCCTGTTACCCACTTCTCTGGCTTAAGTGTCTTAACCAAACTGTATATGTTAAGAAGTTAATCCCCAACACAAAAGGTTGGGAGGTGGAATCTTTAAGAGATTAGTCATGAAGATTCTGCCCTCACAAATGAATCAATGTCCTGGACTGGATGAGTTTCCACATGAGTGGATTCCTAACAAAAGGGTGAGATGCATACCCTCCCCCTTCCCAAAATGCTTTAACTTCTGGGTATTTAGAATATCTTCTGCCTGCTCCTGGCTACAAGTTTGGGAAAGCCCATGTATGGTAGGTTTTGTCAGCTTTCAATGCAGTGCGTGAGCTCTATTACGCTGAGAAAAAGCAAACTGTTGGACAGACAGACAGCATGCCTGTCAGATAACATAGAGTACTACCCACCATACATCATATGATACCTGTGTGCCCATGCTGGACATGGTGATGTGATGGCAAGACAGTCTATTTCAGGGCTTGTAGAAGAGTTGGAGACAGAGGTCTACAACAAACCTGTTTATACAAAGATTAATTGTAGAATACTTGCTGGAATGCTCCCGAGTACACTGGGATGTCCCAGCCTCATAAAAAGGTTCTGTATCTTCTCACTAACAAACTGTCAGCAAAGGACGCGGTTTGGTAATGATTAGACAAGGAAAGCATAGGGCCAACTCATATTTTCAATAACTATCTTTAAGAAATAACATTCATTTATTTACGTGTGTAAGGGATGGAGGACAGGCTTGGGAGAGAGGCAGACAGCACCCCAGTGCATATGAGGCTCCGATAACTAGTGGGTAGTCTGTCTTCTCTTCCACCATGTGGGCTCCACTCAGATCCTCAGGACTGGCGTCAAGAGTGTTTATCCACTGAGCAGTCTCCCAGGCCCTCTATCTTGATCTAATGGTTGAGGCATCTAAATCATTCCACATCAGGAAACCTTTGAAAATCGTTGCATTTCATTTCATTTCGGGCTCAATGAGGTACTGAAAACAAGTGTCCAACATTTTCTGGTTCATGGTCTCAAATAAACAATGAGAAACCCCATTTCCTGTTTGGGCTGGGTCCATTGGATTCCAGCCCAACAAAGCTTTGAATTACATCGCAGTGACATGCAAGGACTTGGAAGGGAAGAAATGAGGCACAGAGGAAAGTTGGAACAGTCCCAGGAAATCTGGCTAAAATTAAGTCTCCGAGGAAATAATGGCAGCTAGGCCATGAGTCAGTGTCCCAAAGGCCAAGTGCATTTTGAAGCAATAAAAACGCAATGCACAGGACTGGCCAGCCCAGAGAAGGAGACTTTCTCCTTCTGAGACCCCTCCCCATGTTGGCCTCTCAATGACAGTTTGCTCCACCTAATAGAATACAGGAGCAATGAGCAATGTGAATATCCCAGAAGATAAATTAGTCCCAGTTGAAATTTACTTCAAATGTAAAGAACATACTGGATTTCAAACACTTAATGGAAAAGGGGGATTAAAATATCAACAAGTTTTGATTGATTAAATGTTAAAGTGATAACACTTTAGATTCATTGAAAGAAAGTAATTTAAATTAACTTCATCTGAATTCTTTTGGGAACTGGTAGCATAATTTTTATTAATGTTTTTATTAAAATAGAATTGTATCCTTTCCCTCCATTTATTTTCTTTCCTCCAACTCCTCTCATGCCCCTTTCCCTCCCAAATTCCTAGCCTCCTCATCCCTAATTGTTTTATATGTGTAATATATGCATATAAACATATAGATCCAACCTACTGAGTCCTTCAGCACAGCATGTATGTGATGTCAGGGCTGACCACTTGGCATCAGATAATCAGTTAGGGGGCCTTTCCGTGAGGGAAGACCACTTCTCCCACTCTCAGCATATCTTAGTTGCCTGCAGCTCTTTATCTGGGGGTGGGGTCCCGTGAGGTTCCCCACTTCCAGGTTAGCATGTCTCCTGGTGTTGTCCATGGTAGCCCAGGTGAAGCTTCCCTGTCATTTCTAGGAGGCGCAGTCTCACAGCAGACTTCCCTGCTCTCTGGCTCTTGCAGTCTTTCCTCCCTTCTTCCTCGATGTTTCCTGAGCTTTCGGTGCAGGAGTTGTGTTGTGGTTATATCCCCTAGGGCCCGGCACCACATGATGAGTTCTCTGTATTTTGACCTATTGTGGTTTTTCTCTAGCAGTCTCTGTTGCAAAGGGAAGCTCCTTTGGTGGGGCTTGGGAGCGACATTTGTCTGTGGGTATAACAATAAACATTTAGAATGCAGTCAGGAATTATGCTGCTTTGGTAAAGCAGTGGTAATAGGTTCTCCTCTAAGATCTGTGGTATCACTAGGCCTGGGTAGCTGGTTAGGTTTTCAATACTGGGCATGATTTCCCTCCTGCTGAGAAGACCTTAAGTCCAGTCAGACAGCATTGGCTACTGTCAAGATACCAGTGCCACTCTTTCACCTTTAGGGATGTCTTGCCATGCTGGTTGTTGGTTCACAGGCTTCACAGCTGGGTAGAACTATTTGTTACTTCCTTCTCTTGGTAGATTGCATAGCATCATCTGGTTCTATGATGGCTGGGACTTTTAAAACCCCAAAGCCCACCTCCAGTGACACACTTCCTCCAAAAAGGCCACACCTACTTCAAAAAGGCCACACCTCCTAACCCCTCTCAGGTTGTGTCACTCCCTGATGACCAAGCACTCAAATATAGGAGCCTCTGGGTCCATTCCTATTCAAACCACCACACCCCCTATCCCCAGTTAAAGCCCCCCCCCCCTCCGCCATTCTCCCATTTCCCTCCATATATCACCTGTATCCTGCTAGTCCCCTCTCTGGCACTCCCCCACGCCCTCTCACCATGGGATGTTTTTATTTGTCACTTGAGCATTTCAATGTGACCATTGTGAAAAAAACAATGCATATGTTAAACTGTTCAAGTGTGCCTGTATGCCCATATGTGTGCAGAAATGCATGAATCTCTCATTGACCCTGAAGCCCAGCTTTATTCCCCCAAATTGGCTGAACAGCAAGTCCTAGGAATCCTCTCATCTCTGCCTCCCCAGGACTGGAATTACAGGAGCACGCTGCCTTGCCTGGCTTTTTATTTATTTCTCTCAGCCTGGGTTCTGGGGATCTGAACTCAAGTCCCCATACTTGTAAAACAAGCACCTTACCAACTAAGTTACCTCTCCAGCCCCTAAAGATTTAAAGTGTGTGTGTGTGTGTGTATAAAAGAGAGAAAGTGTGCGTATATATGTCTGTTTGTATATGTGTGTGGGCACGTGTATACGTGTGAGTGTATGTGTATATGTGTCTGTGCTATTTTTGTGCTATGTGTTGTGATTGTGTATGTGTGTGTGTATGTGTATAAAAGAAAGTGTGTGTATATATGTCTGTTTGTGTATGTGTGTGGGCACGTGTATACGTGTGTGAGTGTATGTGTATATGTGTCTGTGCTATTTTTGTGCTATGTGTTGTGATTGTGTGTGTGTGTGTGTGTGTGTGTGTGTGTGTGTGTGTGGTGTGTAAACATGCATTCAGGTGCCCATGAAGTCCAGAAGAGAGCTAGATCACAGGTGGTTGTGAGTCACCTAATATGGGTACTGGGAACTTAATGTGGGTCCTCTGTCTACACTCCTAAGTCATTTCTCTACCCCCCAAAATGCATGTTTCAAAACAATCACACTACAGCTACAAAGGGAGGAAATATCCTCTGTGCGGTATAGTTGTCCTGAGGCAGTACCTAAAGAAAGGCCTCAAACATACTCAGGCAGCACCATTGGCACCAGCTGGCTGCCTCCCAATGTGAGCACAAAAAAAAGCAATGTCCCAGCAGCATGTGCATGTCATGTTTCATAAGCAATGAGAACTGTAATGCGCCTGGGTATAAAGCAATAGAGAATACTGGTGACTGCCACAAATTGACATTTGAACACCCTCACCTAGAATCCTTCACATTTAGATGTGTTCAATGCTGCCTTCC